TAAGTGCCCTTATAAACATAAAGCAAAAATATTTTTTGCGTGTATTTCATTTTTCCGTATTTTTGCTAATTTCTACTATAAAGTAATAATTTAATTCATATTTGATATAATTTTTTAGATTTAAATTTTTATATCCGGTAAGATGTATTTTTAACGAGAAAATTAGTGCAATTATGCTTCTTATGTTTAGTAAAATTTATTTTTTTGTTACTTAAATTATAATTCAATTACTGTGTAAATGCAATATTTATTAGTAAAAAAATTGTCTACTTTAAAATTAATAGCAGTATTTCCATTTAGTGGCCTATATATTTGGGTATGAAGTTGGACCCAATGGACAGTTTCATCACGAAAACAAAGGGCCTGATGGATTTACATATGGTTGTTATGGTTACGTTGATCCAGAAGGAAATTTGCAAGCCACACATTACATTTCTGATGGATGGGGTTACCGTGTAGTAACTCCTGGTCAATCAGTTGAAATATTTCATCACAAACATGAAGAAAATCAGGAAGAAAATCAAGTTTCGGAAACTTCAGGTAGTGGATCTGAACATGAACATCATGGACACCATGGAGTTGTAACTGCTTGGGGTGATTTATACTTCCCAAAAGGATGTGGAGGGGGTAGACCAATTGATGGTTCAATTGGTAAACCAGGTTCGTTATAAGTAACTCATTTTTAGTTGATATCTATTTATAAGTNATAAGTCTTTAGAATGAGTATATATAGGGAGGCATATACACACATCAAATATAAATAAGAAATATCTTCTCATTAGGGGAGACGACAGTGATGAGATCTTTGATATTCATTGAAGTTAATGAATCTAAATGATACAATAATTAAATGATTTGAAACATAATATGTTTAATATATTATATTAATTAAAAATAATTTTAACTGATTTACGTAAAATATATTTTAATGAAACAAAACATTTTTCATAATAAAATATAGTTTGCAGATCTGTAAAAGATACTTTGAAAATGTATTTTAACTCGGGGCTTGAAATCGTATTCAAAATGTTATGATTTAAAATGTTACACTAACAAAAAACTATTGGATTTGTATAACGTAAAAAAATACGATTAACGAAAAATGTATAATAATGGTAAAAGATACACAATTTCGCTCGAATACGTTCTTAAATAATCTACCCATTAAATATTTGTCGTCAAATATAGATATTTCATAAAAGATGTCAATAAATTTTCAAATATTTTAAAATATCTATCATTGTATTCATAAAAAATACACGTAACTTAACATTTTTATTTAATTTTCTGTTAGGAATACATATCTACAAAATTGACGCATATTTAAACGTTCTTGGAATAATAATATCTTATTTTTCTTGAGATAATTGAGTATTCTAAAATTATTACTATTTTTACCTAAAAATGTTAAAAATAGCATGTGTAAATTATACAGAAGAAATATTTATAAAAAACCAAGTTCACATGTCCCATTTTAATAAAGAAAATTATTATTTTGGCTTACCCACTTTTTTTTCGAGCGGCCGTGATTTAAGTTTAATTTATATCTGTATATTAATATTTAATTATTATATTTATATTTATAATTTTACTATCATACAATTAAATAAAAAATAACTAAATATTTTACTAAAAGAAACTCTATAGCATTAATTTATAATTTTTAATTGCATAATAAATATAAAATCATTAATTTTTTATATATTTTTAGGTTATCCAGGTGCTCCGGGTGCTCCAGGTTCTCCAGGCTCTCCTGGATCTCCAGGCGTCCCAGGCTCATTTGGTTATCCAGGTTCTTTAGGTCAACCAGGCATACCTGGTAAACCAGGCTCTCCAGGGTCTCCAGGCACTCCAGGTTTCCCAGGCCAACCAGGATCTCCAGGATCTCCAGGA